TTCCGCGAAATTTCTCTGTAAACACTTCCGTTTAAAATGTTCGAGGAATCCGAATCGAACGTTAAATCATTTTAAATTAAATTAAACCAATTAAATCTCCGTAACAATTATAATCAAACAGCTCTCGGGGCTGTTTTTTTCTTGAAAATTTTAAGGCGGCCGCGCGCTCTCTGCTCCGGCACTGATTGAAATGGAACACGTCGGAATCCGAGAGGACGCGGGAACGATAATTAAACGATTGAACGAGGCCGGATCGCCGGGAAAATCGCCTGTATCATTATCCGATCCTAGAATCCGCCGGAAAAAGACTAGTTTCCAGTCTGGTTACGTAAGAATTTCCTAGATCGAACCGTTCGATGAACTACGACGTACACGAAACGATCCCGTCTGTTCCAGATTGCCAGCTATTAAAAATTACAGGCCCGGCTGCCTCGGGATTAACCGCGTCGGTATTCGATATTCCGAGCGTTTCTTCATTTTTCTTTCTTCCTTTTTCTCGTTTCTTTTTCTTTCCTTTTTTTGTTTTGTTTTAAATCACTGGGTGTCGTTCCGCGCAGATGACTTAATACAGCGAGATCCCCGTCTCGCTTCCTCCGCAGAAAGCGTAACAGATGTAACACAGATGTTGTAATGCTATACCAGAGGACTATCCTGTGAACGGCAAGAAGAGAGAACGAGCCGATAATGTTGATTGAAAGAACCTGATTCTGATAGACGTATTATCGGATTCTAGCGAGACGAAGACATCGGACGCTCCATAAGGAAATTTCGATTTATCTGAATCTTTCGCTCGTACGAATCGGGATCTCCTCGTTTAAACTGCATCGATACTGCACAGCTGCGGGCATTTCATTCCGCGAGAATTCTCGATTCTAGAATTTTTGTTGTAGCTTAATCTGGAGTCGCTCGGGAATCGAAGTGGAAACGTTCAAAATAATCGTCGACCGTTGCGCAAAAATCGTGCGAAACGTGTTCGTAGTAAAAATCGGGTTTCCTGGTGTTTTCGTGCGGGATTAGACCGTGTCGAATCTTGCATTTTGCAATTTCGGAAGAGGTTCGCGCGCGCACGTTGATATAAACCAAGCTGGATAATCGATAATTGGACGGTGGATTTTATGCGTTTACGAGAGAAATTGGCGTCTAATTTCAGAGAGAAGAAAAAGCAAGAAAACTGATGAGTATCGATATATTGCCTTTTAACTCGATGTAATTATAGATAAATATATATAAATATAGATAATATATATGATATATAATATATATGGTATATGGTATATAATATATAATATATAATATATAATATATAATATATAATATATAATATATAATATATAATATATAATATATAATATATAATATATAATATATAATATATAATATATAATATATAATATATAATATATAATATATAATATATAATATATAATATATAATATATAATATATAATATATAATATATAATATATAATATATAATATATAATATATAATATATAATATATAATATATAATATATAATATATAATATATAATATATAATATATAATATATAATATATAATATATAATATATAATATATAATATATAATATATAATATATAATATATAATATATAATATATAATATATAATATATAATATATAATATATAATATATAATATATAATATATAATATATAATATATAATATATAATATATAATATATAATATATAATATATAATATATAATATATAATATATAATATATAATATATAATATATAATATATAATATATAATATATAATATATAATATATAATATATAATATATAATATATAATATATAATATATAATATATAATATATAATATATAATATATAATATATAATATATAATATATAATATATAATATATAATATATAATATATAATATATAATATATAATATATAATATATAATATATAATATATAATATATAATATATAATATATAATATATAATATATAATATATAATATATAATATATAATATATAATATATAATATATAATATATAATATATAATATATAATATATAATATATAATATATAATATATAATATATAATATATAATATATAATATATAATATATAATATATAATATATAATAATATATATAAAAATAGAAAAATAAATACAAAATACAAAATAAAGCATAAAAATCCGCGGTCTATCAGTAACTCATGAAATGTTACTTAACATCTAGCATTATTTATAGCAACGAGTCATTCTCGCGATGAAGATATATTTTCTCTTTTAACAATCGTAATAAGCAGTGAATAATGTAACAATACGTTTAAACTCTTCTTTTCGGTTCTTTCAGTTTCATGTTTCATTTATTCAGTGTTACCGTAAATGCGTAAAAATCACAG